CCCCCTTTTTTTTTCAGCTTGAATCCCTCTTACAGTTATGGCTCACATTAAGCCTGAATTCCAGCTCTTCTGGAAGTAAAGACAGTGGCGCTGATATTTTCCTTTATAATGCTAACCGAATACCTGTCATTTCCCTGAACCAAGGTAAAATACATTGAATATGGGAAATTAGGTTTGGAGGGGTTTTTTGAGTACTCAATTTCTGCTAATGAGCAGACAGTATTACAGTATTTTTGTTAAGTGTTGGGCTAATTTTTGTGTTCTTATTAAAGAACTCTTGGGCTCATTTTCTTAATTTGAAAAATATATTGCTAGTATGTAACTGAGAGATGATTTGTTGAATTTTAAAATCTCCTTAGAAATTAAATTGTAAAATTTGTGGTTCTTTACTGATCATTTTTCCCAAGAGGACTTTCAAAAATGCGCTTCTTAGTCTAGGATCAACTGTGCAACTGTAAGCACTTTTCTGACAAATATATCTCCTTGTATACTGTTCTGTGATCCATTTCTTATCAAATGGCTCAGTGTAGAGGGGAAGTACTATTACATTTTAGCATCAGACTACTAAGTAGTACAAAGACATATTGAATTATTTTTTCTATAGTATGTATACTGCATAGTTTAGAAAATCTGTGGTATCTTGTGGTGATAGTCCAAAATATTAATGCCTGATATAATGAACCTGTTACACTGACTTCCATGAGAGCATTTTGAAACAGCTTCTTTGCATCATTTTCTCTGAGATGTCAGAGTCTGGGCACTACAGGAAGGTCTGTGAGCCAGTTCCTGTGAAGTCTTGGTGAGGCTTTTTCCTAATTTCCTGGAACAATGGTTGTCAAAACAAAACAAATACAAGGAACAATAACATTAATAACAATAATAAATATAGCATCTTAGAGTAAAAATAAGAAATTTATAATAATACCCTGAATTTCAAAACTCAGAAAAGCCTGTTTTTCTTGACAGCTTCAGTAACTAGCTTCCTGTCAGTTCTGGCATGGTATCCTAATACCTTACTCCGGACGTGGTGCCTTGTGCTTCACAGCCTAACTCTCATGACAAATATGCAGCTTAATGGTAAGTTTGGATTTGGGTTTTTTATAATGTTGCCTGTTTTACTGATGAGTGTTGATTCCCATCCGAAAGACTGCCAGAGCATTCCTTTTGTCATATGAGTACTTTCATTGGTTCTCCATAACTTCAAGCTTTTCAAGAATGGGCTCCTTGAATTAGTTGTACCATAGGAAACAGAAACCATACTGGTAAAGCAAAATGTCATTATAAGTGAATTGGCAATGTCTTCTAAAAAAGAATTTCAGGACTAGGTAGTGATTCCTGAGAATTAGCTTTGTACCAGGGTATGAAGTAGCAGAGGAATGTTTAAGGTGTTCTGAGAGAGATTCATGTTTTTCTGATGTAGTAGGAATATTTTTTGCAAATTTGCAGACATTAGTCACTGCTTATGTTAAGCTCTGAAAATAAGCCCAGAAGCCGAATCTATTAAAAAAGAAATCCAGCCATTTCATTTCCCTGTGCACACCAGCTTATCTCACATTCTGTATATTGCTCCATAACACACTAGAAATAATCTCACTTTGTGAATGTGCTTTTGCCACATGACTGGTAGAAATTAAAGGAAGTAATTTTTAAATTAATCTTCTATGTGGCTCACTGTCATAGGGCAGCTGCCTTCAGGAAAGCTCTAGCGACCTTGTCCTCAATGATAAATAAGATATCAAATAGTAAGAACATGGACACTGGAGTCTTTTAAAACCTACATCTTAGACCAAGTCAGAGCTCTTTTAAATTCTGTTTTCCCTCCAAGCATACAACTAAAGACAGTAGTTACAGAAGAAAGAAGCCATGAGCCACCTGGAGATCACCTTTCTATGAAGCAGTTTGCCATCCTGGAGTGACACAGATCCTGAATTTTCATCAAAGATGCTTATGAATCTTTTTCATGTTTGCCATTTCAAATAATTGAATTTGGATGCACTTTTTTCATCAGGTTTTTACTTCCTGTCCCCTTTCTATGATGTTATTTTAGTGATCAGTCTCATGAAAAAGTGCTGACATTTTTGCTGTTAGGTGAAGCAGTAGAGCTGTGAATTAGCTAATGAAAGAGACTTAATTATTAGTCACACACAGAGACCTCCATCCTTTATTCTTGGTATTTGAGAGTAGAACGTGGCCAGATTTCTAGCATCACAGTGCTTGCAGTTAACAAGCACATGTATTGTCAACGCTTCAGTTTGTAATTGTAACTTAGAGTTTCCAGAATTTGTGCAGCATATATCACTGAGACCATATGTGAATCTCTGACAAGTTGTATGAGGCTCAGTGTTGTGCTCTGATGCTTACAGGCCGCTGAGTGTTTGTGGGAGTTTCTTTGGTAATTGCCTGAGATCAGTAGGTGATGATGTGAATGAAAATCTGCTCAGAAGCAACCACTGTGACTCACCTCAGGCACACTTCAGCATGTGAATGTGGCTGTGATTTTTTTGTGCATATAGGTTTGTGAGCCTGAGGTTGGAGTTGAATTGGAAGGGATGATGCAAGCTTGCTGGAGGGTGAAGAAAAGTGTTGAAAGTGTGTTTCATTTCATACATGTGTGTGGATTAACACAAATATCTATCCCTCAGCTGGCCCTTTTCCTATACTCACTGATGGAACCAGGAGCTAAGTAGGTATAGGTGTGCCCATCAGATCACTTCCATGCCAGGATTCCTCAGCAGCTAACAACTCAACATAATATTCTGTCTCATGGGCACTGAATTGTCACATTTAAGAAGTGAAATAATCAGTGTTCAATTCTTGCAGCTGAAGGTGGGATCTATCAGAGCACTTCTCCAGTCAATCATTTTGATTTCTATGTGCTTTAGTTCAGAACTGGGTCTAGTAATAGTCTCTTCAGTCATTACAAACAGTATCTCACAAGAGTTCTCATCAACTTAGAATTTTCACAATCATGCTTTTCGGGGGAGAGAGGTTTTTGGGTTTGGGGTTTTTTTTAGAACATATACAGCCAGTAGAGAGTGAGCAATTTAAAGACGAGTGCTTTGTCTGACAGGTGAAATGTAAGTGACCCGTTAGCTTTCTTTGGAGGCAAGTTTCCCTTGTAGCTTCTTTAATTCTGTAGTGATTTAAACTACAAAGCACAAATTGTTCACTTGTCTTGGTTAGGTTTGTTTATTTATAAACCACTAAGATGTCAATTGCAGTTCACTGGGAATAATTTAGCTTAGCCTTGCTAGATGTGTGTGGCTATGAAATGAGATTCTGTTCCCTTTCAACACCCACAACACAAGGAGCTCCCAAGTGTGTGTATTTGCAAAATATCTTCACTGATGAAAGACCATCAGCAATAAAAATTTATTTCTCAGATGATTTCAGGTATAATAAACCTCTTCTTGACATAATCCTAATGAGATAATGATATTTGCTGTTTTGGAAACTAAAAAACAAAATCACGGAGTAGATGCTCATAGGTGGTTCACTCAGGTCTACTTGTGGGTAGGCATTTTAGCACCATGAAAATCCCACTATCACTATTTTTCTAAACTATTTGACTTCAAAGCCTTCTCAGAGAACCTCCTCCTTAAGTTTGCTTTCTTTAGTTGAAATTCATTCTTGCCATTTGATTCATATGTTCACATTCATCCATTGTGTTTTCCCCAGTCTTTCATTTAAAAACAAGAAAGAAAACAAAGCGGGGAGAGGGGAAGTAGGGTAGGAAGTGCTTGTTTATACTACTCCATCCATTGTAGATAAGGGTCTTGCCTTATTTGCATTCTATGAGTGTTCTTTCTGAATGCCCTTCTGAGCTAGTGTACTCTGAAGATTATGGCTTTGGTCAACATTTCTTCAAGAGATCAATGAACTAGATTTTGTCATGAGAAATGGGATAGTTCTAGAGAACTCAAAGCTATTTCTTAGTTATTTTTCAGAAACCTCAGATCTTTCCGGTAGTAATCAAGGCATTTTGGTCAGGTTGGGGTTTTTATCTATACCTGGGTATAGGGCAGGTTCTTTTGGGGAAGTGTCCTATGTTAGGATTTTATGAGCAACCCCTGTCTATGGTCATAAAATTCAGTTTTGTTACACCATTGTGTGCTGGTAAGTATCTCCAGAATGGGAACTCAGGCTGTGCAACTTTTGTGCTTCAAAAACTCTTATCTGAAGAGTACAAGATACTTTGCAGGGATAAACCAAATAACCCCTGCCATTTCTTTTCAGAAAAAATGACTTTAATTGGTAATTAGATCCAGGGACAAATTTTGCAAGGATGGTGTTTAAAAATCATTATTTGTTGGGTGACATCTATAACCTTTCCATGCCATGTTAATGAAGGTGGGTAGAAACAAACCTACCTGGCTAAGAAGTATTTCTCACAGCTACAGTTGCTCTGTAGTAAACAGCTGTCATCTGTCAGATTATTCTCGTAGTGCATTTAATCATCTGTTCATTAAGCAAAAACTATCTGTCCTCTCCTCACATACCCTTTTGCTTGACTGGTATTGTCACCAGAGTACTGTTTGAGAGCAGTGTTTTGAGCATAAACACTGCCTGACAGAGCAGATAGTGTAAGTTTCATCTTGAAATCTGATTTAGAATGTCAAACTATGAATATAATGGTAGAGAAAAAACAGGCTTTTATGTTGTATTGGTATTTTCAGCTGTTATATATAAAATATAAAAATACAACAACATAGGGAAGTAATGAGGATGTATTTATTCAGTTATGGCACGAACCCCAAAATCAAGTAGTAGAAAAGCTATAAAATATGGACTGGAGCAGACTTGTTGTCTACAGTACAGTGGAACTGGAGTACCATGGGGTGCTTTCTTGCTTTTACTCAACTCCAGCTATTGCAGTGACATCAGTTGTAGCCACATAGGCTCATTCCACTAGCGCAATCAATGCAAAGTGACTTGTATTGTAAGCTGTGTATGAAATACTTTCAGCATTAGTTTTCTACATTAATCTAAGGCAAGAAATCTGTTTGTAGTTTGAGAATAAAATGGCATTCGATAAAGAGAACACTTAGTCTGAATTACCTTCTTCCATCTTTCTGTAAGAATTTTTTCTCAGAGCATCTTTCCAATGATACATTTATTTCATCACACTGAAAGTCTTTCAAGTGAGATCAAAGCAGCAGGGTTTAATTCTGGTTTTGACAGAGATGTTTCCCTCCTGGTTGTGATCTTTAGTTTAACTCTCCTTAGTTTAAGGCAATTACTGTGAATCATGAAGACTCAGTAGTTCAGGATTTGTTTAACAACCTGCAAACTGAGAAACTTACCTTGGGATGCAAAGGGATGCCAGCCAAGCTGTTGCAGCAGAACATCATTTCCTCTTGATTTAAGCTTTTGTATAGGAAGAGATAGTGTGAGAGAGATCACATCTTCAGCATGTAATAGCCTGTAACTTCATTTAGAAAGGTGTAATAATATAAGAATATATTTTTGTTCGCTAGGTAGCTGTGCTTTTTTCAAGTTGCATTTTGAATTGATACAGTTACCACTACTGAAAGAGCAAGACTTCACATTGAATAAAGCTCATTTGATCACTGAAGGGCGTATTTGAATTCAAATTTTGGTCCTCAAAGTTCTTATCTGTTAAGCTTCCTACAGTTTTAGTTAACGATGAGAAGTCTGAGTGTGCCAAGGATGGAAATATCTTGATTGCTTATAGGATAACAGAGCACATAGTCTCTGTCTGACAAACTAACAAATGCACTGAAGCCTTATTAAAGTGTTGGATTAACAGAAAGTTGCGAGTCAAAATGTATATGTTGCTTCTACAAAGTTAAGTTCTGTTTTTGGGAATAGTGCCTTAGCAAGCTTGGAACACTGATGGAACAGTTTTGGGGGTTTATATCTGTGCTTAATGGAACACTCAACACTCGTAACTGTAGTCCTGAGTAAGCGGTTTGTGGTAGCTGATTTTACTGAGAATATTTCCACATCATGAAATAAATATAAGGGATTTGCACTGTAACTGTTTGGTTGACACTTAATGCTTAAGAATACAGATTTAATTTTTATGTCTTTATTTTTCAGCTGGTCCAAGCAGTGCCATTGGAGCTCAGGAAAGTACTGCCCAATTGTTGGTGTCAGATCCAAACCTCATTCATGTGTTAGTGAAATTTCTTTCTGGCACTAATCCTCATGGAACAAATCAACATAGTCCACAGGTAATTAGCAATGAAAATAAGAGAAAAGCTCTTTGTAATGGGGTTTCAATACATTTGACAGAAATACATGTTAGTCATAATGTATTATATGCCTGTCTTGCTTCTTTTTCTGGTTATAGTTTTAGTTGGCTCTGTTGAGCAACCTTAGGGAAGTTCATGTTGGTAGTACACCCTGAGTAGTGATAGCATATTGTTGCAACTCTCTGGTGACTTGCCACAGGGAGAAGATGAAATGTGATATGTCAGTGAAGTGTTCCATTGTGTTAGTTTCCTGAAGTCTTATTGGGTTGACATAAAAATGCTTAAGCTTTATGATTAAGTTTAAATATCTAATAATTCCAGAATTTAAAATTATGCCTTTATTTTCTGCCAGTTTCTGAATTCATGTGGTGTCTAGAGTCTCTCCATATTTCAGCTGATGTTTTTTTGCGGTTTTGCAGTCCTTGAAACATCTGAAAATAGTGCTAAAAAAAGGTTGAAGTTAATTGTATGTAATGTTTGACAGGAGTCTGAGTTTAGGAGGCAGAAAACACCTGGTATTTCCAGGCTTGGATTTTTTTTCCCAGCAAATTTTCCAGAAAATACATAGTCTTTTCTAGAACTTCAACACTGCATAGTGCCACTAGTTTAAAGTGAAAAAACATTCAGATTAGCACAGAAGTGTATTGTGTGAAGTATAGTTTGCATTTGGGAAAAGAGAGTCTCAAGCTGCAAAACGAGTCTTGGACAAAGAACTGAATTCCTTGCTTTTGACTCCTGGTTAGTTATAGAAAAACATGTAACATAAATTGACACATAGTTCTGTAAAAATGCTGTAAGACTTTTCAGAAAGCAAGTTACACTACACAGTACTTTCTTATTTCTAGAGGATGTTCTTGTTAGATACTACTTAATATCCTTGAAGACGTTTCAGTTATCCATAATACTTATTAAAATGCCTTTCCCTCTAGGTTGGGCCAACAGCAACGCAAGCTATGCAAGAATTTCTTACTCGATTACAAGTGCACCTTTCTTCAACTTGTCCTCAGATGTTCAGTGAATTTTTACTGAAACTAATACATATACTTTCAACAGAAAGGTAAATCTGACCTATTTTTTTCCTTTCATTTCCCTCTTTTTCTTTAAAATCTTTGTGATTGTCCGTCACAACTAAGATGTGTATGTACTGCCTTGTCATACTGTCAGGGTATATATCAATGGACATCTTGGCTGTTGCTGCAGCACTACCAGCAGGATCTGGGCTGCTTCTGACATGTGGATGAGTGTGACTGGAATCCACACAGAGCCGTCTGTGTGTGAGGGACAGTGAATAGAAGCACTAAAATTTTCGACTGATTTTACCTATGTCGTGGTTTACCCCCAGCAGCAGCCAAGAACCACACAGCCTCTCACTCACTCCCCCACCAACGGGATGGGGGAGCGAATCAGAAGGGTAAAAGCTACAAAAACTCATGGGTTGAGATAAAGACAGTTTAATAGAGAAAGCAAAAGCTGCACACACAAGCAAAGCAAAACAAGGAATTAATTCACTGCTTCCCAAAGGCAGGAGGTGTTCAGCCATCTCCAGGAGAGCAGGGCCCATCACGCGTAACGGTTCCTTGGGAAGACAGACGCCATCACTCCAGATGTCCCCCCTTCCTCCTTCTTCCTCCCACCTTATATACTGAGCATGATGTCATATGGTATGGAATATCCCTTTGGTCAGTTTGGGTCACCTGTCCCAGCTGTGTCTCCTCCCAATCTCCCATGCACCCCCAACTTCCTTGCCAGCGTGGCAGTACGGAAAGCAGCAAAGGCCTTGACTCTGTGTGAGCTCTGATCAGCAATAACAAAAACATCTCTGCATTATCGACTCTGTGTTCTGCACAAAACCCAAACATAGCCCCATACTAGCCTCTATGAAGAAAGTTAACTCTACTTCAGCTCAAACCAGCACAACCTAGAGCTAAGATGTAGTCCTTGTTGAAGTAATCCCTAAAATAAGGACACGGTTGATGAAAAACCTCCTCTGCCTCACTCTACTGGGGCCTATTGATGCCCACTAGCATAGAGAGCTGCCACTGGCCAGGAGAGAGATAAGAACTTATGGCTTGTCTTCTACAGCTCTGCTTCTTCAAGGCTAGGGCAGTGGGTACAAGACTGTCTGTACAGTGGTACGTCAGAAATATGGCAGGTGTTTAGTCTGAAGTACGTTAGGAATCATTGCTTTCTGGTATTGACTCTCTGCTCATCCCTGGGCAGAGGCTTGATATAATTAGGGATAAACTTCCTCAGTTTCTGACTTCCCAGTAGGTGGCACTTTGGTGTTATCTATTCTTTAATCTTAGAGGAAACAGTTTCTGTCCTCTCGAAAAGATTTTGCCTTAGTAACTGAAATTGGGGTGGTGTATACCAGGTTACATTGATAATCAATCCTTATACTAGACATTTTGTAATACAATAAAATCAGTAATTCACAGTGAATATTGGAATGCTTGGCTGCATGCCAGCATTTATCTGAGCTAAGCTAATGAAACCACTGAAGGGTAGTTTTTGGAATGTGTTGGATTTCTTTTGAGACAAACTAAATGTGAGACTGAAATGTCATAAAATGGAAGAAAAGGGCCAGAAGAGGATTTAGGTGGTTATTTCTAAGAACTCAGGTCATTATTAAAGTGTATCATGTCTGATCAAAGCATAAGATTAATTGTGAAGAAAATCAGTATTTTACTGTTAGAACTAATTAAATGCCAGATATTTTCTTCAGGGCTGTTGTGATAAATGGTTTTGGTCTGCATTTAATTAAAAAATTTATAGTTAGATTTATCAATGTGAAAAGATACAGAAAAGTACATCAAAAATCAGTAACTAACACTTCAAGAATTAACGCCAGTTTTATTTTAAACATAATGATTTCAAGTATTCATTTCTTAGTCCACCACTGTACATGTAAAAGCAACTGGTAGAATAAAGTTGTCGCTAAAAGAGATCCTTCAAGTAGTCAAGCTACAAGCACCAGCCTCTACCTTCTCATGGTCTTATGTATAGTTACTATTTAAATAGCTAAAACCTGACCATTCTTCTTTATACCTGTGGGAGAGGTTGGGAAGGGAGCAAACAAAAAAAACCTCTGGAAAGAAAAAACCCATCATGATTTCATGTTAGAAAGCAAATAATCCTAGTGATGTTAAGTATTAGGTGACTGCTTCCCATGAGGTTTCCTTTCAAATCTAAGAAACTTTTCACCCACAACTGAACAGGACTGTATTCCTAGCCTGTACCTATAAAATTATCTGAATGACGGAGAAAAAAAAAAAAGATGGGTCCTAGACTTTTTGAAAGGCAGCTTTTTAGTCCTGAGTGGTATCAGGAGAGTGGTGGCATGAGCAGCTTCTACAGGTGTGTAACGACCAGTATATTAAAAAATTATAGATGTTTGATGCAGGTGACAGATTAGATTGTGCTTCAACATGCATTTCTGAATATGGCAGGATTTTTATTTGTTGAAAGTCTGGTGTGCTTATTGGTTCTTAAAAATCAAGGGGAAAAAACCCCTACAAACCCAAACAACCTGTTTAACTTGTAATATGTGCCTTTTTTTGTCTTTCAGAGGTGCTTTCCAGACAGGCCAGGGACCATTGGATGCACAAGTGAAGCTCTTGGAATTTACTCTGGAACAGAATTTTGAAGTTGTATCAGTTAGCACTATTTCTGCAGTCATTGAGTCTATAACCTTTCTTGTGCATCATTACATTACATGTTCAGACAAAGTAATGTCTCGCAGCGGCTCCGACAGCTCTGTGGGAGCTCGAGCATGTTTTGGAGGGCTTTTTGCCAATATTATCCGTCCAGGTGATGCCAAAGCAGTTTGTGGAGAAATGACAAGGGATCAACTTATGTTTGATTTATTAAAGCTGATAAACATTTTAGTTCAACTGCCACTTTCCAGTAACAGAGAATATAGTGCCCGTGTTCCAGTAGCAAGCAGCACCACAGACAGTGTGTCTGATGAAGAGAAGGTCTCAGGAGGCAAAGATGGCAATGGAAGCAACTCTAATACACAAGGATTAACTGCGTGTGTGGCAGACTTGGTGTTAGCCAACCAACAAATTATGAGCCAGATTTTGTCTGCGCTTGGCCAGTGTAACAGCAGTGCTATGGCAATGATTATTGGTAGGTATTTTCTGAACAAAAAAGAAACATCTTTTGGTGTGGTGAAACATTTGAAACTTTACAAACTCATAAGCTGGGTGTAAACATGTGTCACAGAAATGACAGGAAAGAAGAGACAGATAAGAAGTGAAAGGGAGAACAGCTTTGGGGGCAAAAAAAAAACAAAACACAACTA